ATACATACATACATACATAGATACATACATACATACATAGATACATAGATACATACATACATACATAGATACATAGATACATACATACATACATAGATACATAGATACATACATACATACATAGATACATAGATACATACATACATACATAGATACATAGATATGTATGTAACTTGGTGGTCGACCGGAGGCGACAGGAGCAACACAGCGGTTAGAGCAAAGTGCCATATTGCTAATGGCCGATCAATGGTCTTAAGTGGCGAGCCGGTGAGGTTGAAGTTGGTCAATTGATGGGTTGACTGATGGCTAGTCGGATGACACGTGGTGATGTCTTTCAAGCGACAAAGAGTCTTCCACACTGCAAAAAAGGGGGATGCAGGTGAGACAGTCTGTCAACAAGTTGTTTCGCTTGACAGAGACTTCCACGTGATAAAGAGACGGTCGGTCAGCGACGCAGTCAGCCAGCGAGGCAATGGGCCAGTCGGATTTTTGCATGATGGTAAGTTCGGGCAAGAGAGAGCTCACATGGGAGAGGCTTCAGTGCGAGGCCAACAAGGCGGTAAGTGCAGGCAGACATTTGCATGACATTTAGGGTTGACTTTGAGACTTCTTCTCATCAAGTGAGACCACAATTTTTGCCTTCATTATTTTTTGTGGTTGACCTCTGTATTTGTAAGCTGCTAATTACTCTTCTAGTCAATAGAGTAGGCCTAACAAGAACGACTAGGAGACAATGAGACCACAATTTTTGCCTTCATTATTTTTTGTGGTCGACCTCTGTATTTGTAAGCGACTAATTACTCTTCTAGTCGATAGAGTAGGCCTAACAATAACGACTAGGAGACAACAGGTGTGAGAGATGGAGTGGGCTGGCCCGGAGCAGGTGCTAGTCAGAATATTTGGGGATTGAATAAATGCCGGTCGGGAGTTCCGCTTGACAAAGCAGATGCTATCGGTGAAGCGAGCTGGTGTGAGGGAGATTTTCACACGACAAAGAGGAAGAAGCGTAGATTTCCACGCGATCCCCCTGCTGTGCGAGTTTTTCTTGTTTGCTCCTTGCTTGGAGTGTCTCTCTAAAGAGTTTTCTCATCGGTATTGCTCGTTTTATTGTTGACGAGACAATCCACAAATGTTGAATACAAAATTGTCAATTATATCACGCTCAAGAAATATAGTGTAAAAACCGATGAGAGAGAGAGAGGAGAGACACAAAGAGTGCTCTATTGGGGCAAAATGGGGGGTCTTCTCAGTCTAAAGAAGCTATCGCAAGAGAAATGGAGAGTGATGCCAAAATGGAAGGAAAACTCAAATGACTTACATTTGTACCCTCTGCATGAAGAAAAATTCTATTTGTAGATGATAAGATGATAAAGTGCAAAAATTACATCATTGGTTATGGTGTTGTAAGTTATTATTGTCCATAGGAACTAGAAGTTGTTATTTTCTTCATTGACACATTTTCATATATATGTCACATTTTTGCTGTTGGGTTCATCCGACGATATGGCCTACCAATCTCCGCTACTATCGGCTCTTATCAAGATAGGCGCAGGTATTTGTTGGCCATACAATTTAATTTTTAAGGAATGTTTATATAATGGTATAATTCTTCTGTGCTTGCATATCTAACACCTAAATTTTGATATTTGCATTTATAGCATTTTTGTGTCAAGAACATGTCAAGAAAAGCTGTATTTCTCTTTTAAAAGTCAATAATAATAATATTATTATGTGATATTAAAAATCAATGTGTCATGCATATAAATAAGAAAGTTCGTGTTAGATATGTTAATGCATGAGAATTGTGGGGTATGCATGCAAATGCCACATATCACTCAGAATATTATGATTTACAGAAGTATCACTTTGATAATATTTCCTTAACTACGAAATCGATGCATTTACGCATCAAGTAATTGAGAAATCGATAAAAATAAAAAATTTGCGTTGGACTAATGGTATAATTCTTCTGTGCTTGCATATCTAACACCTAAATTTTGATATTTGCATTTATAGCATTTTTGTGTCAAGAACATGTCAAGAAAAGCTGTATTTCTCTTTTAAAAGTCAATAATAATAATATTATTATGTGATATTAAAAATCAATGTGTCATGCATATAAATAAGAAAGTTCGTGTTAGATATGTTAATGCATGAGAATTGTGGGGTATGCATGCAAATGCCACATATCACTCAGAATATTATGATTTACAGAAGTATCACTTTGATAATATTTCCTTAACTACGAAATCGATGCATTTACGCATCAAGTAATTGAGAAATCGATAAAAATAAAAAATTTGCGTTGGATGTTAGATTTAAAGACAACAATGTTTGAAGTGTGGTGCATGTAATTGCCCCAAAATTTGTAATCACATAAAAAGAGATTTGCGGTATTAATGTAAAATCCTCCATGTACATTTTCATGTCACTGCACAACTAGAAAAAATTACAGAAAAAAAAAAACCAGGCTCCGTGTTCCGGATAGCGATCCGCGAGGCAGAGGATGCTGAGCAGTTGTCACCGAACTCATTCAAGCTCAGCGCCGAAACCGGTCTGCATCTCCTCAAGCAGTCATCTTTTTGAACGCACCGTGCGCTTCTGGACAAACTCTCATCTCCATGGTGGCGGCGGAGCCCGAATCCATTGTCGTCGCTTCTGTGTCTTCGCCGCTCAAGACCGTAACCTGCAGGGAGACCGGCAGCTTAAGCTCTCCGTCCTTCGTTTCACTCTGGGCAAGTTCTCTTAAGATTAACATTGTGTTTGATTTCTTCGATTTCTGAAGGGAAAAAAAAGGTTTTTTTTTTTTTTTTTTTTTTTTTGGCTTCAGGAATACCGGGATTGGACGAGTCCTACCTTCCTAGATGGATTGGTGTGGCTTTTGGATCTCTCATTCTACTCAATCATTATCTGTCTTCTTCACCAGGCCCCGCTCAGCTTGTACAATTTTGGCCTGCTGCGTATTTCGAATCCCATTTGATTTGATTCCTCTTTGCCCACTGTTTTTATGTTTTATTTTCTATTTTTTATTTGTTTTATTCAGAGGTCGGAGGCTATGGGTCTCTGCTTGGCTGCCTTCTCCACTACATTACCATATGTTGGCAAGTTTCTTAAGGTACAGAGTTCACAATCCTATTTGGTGTTCTTGGTTTTGTTGCTGGTTGTAGAATGACTTCATGGTGCTCGCCAAAATGCCCCAACAGCATGGGTAAATATGCTCTACGCATATCACGTAGAAAATGTGGTATATTGTATGGATGCTGAAAATTGGCTGAGTAAAAAAACGATAGCCGAAGTGTCCAAAATACTTTTAATGCTTGAATTCTCAGTGTCAATGATTTTTCGATGCAAATTTCATACTGTTATGTGAAAATAATGCGGAAACGAAGAAATTCACACAACAAGAATCAAACACAAATGATTTACGTGGTTCGGCGTTGAATTGATTCACCTACATCGGGGAGAGATATTTTACTAGCACCAGATGGGGAGAAAGAAAAAGACTAGAGATTACAACCTCTACACTTCTCACAGCACCTCTCTCATGAATCCTAAGTCACTTTTATTGATGAGTATTGTGACATGCAAGTAAATAAAGTCAAAATACTAAATTACCTCTAATTACAAAAAAAATCTTAAATAAAACAAACTTCACATCATCTTTTACTTTTAGATAAGCGATAAATAACCAAATAAGCTATAAACTCCAATTCAGCTGCACCAACATGGTTGTCTACTTACCCCCCTCCCGAAGGGATCAAACCTCGCGCAGTTCTTCAAAATACCAGACTGTACAATCAGTACTGAGCTTAGATGTTCGCCAAACTTCTGCAGTAGGTGAACTTCTGGACTGGAAGTACATTCGTGTGCATGTTTGTTGAATACTCCATCGTATCTATCTACTTTAACAAAACCTTGCTGCATCAATAAAGTCCCAAACAAAGTGGTACCTCACATCGATGTGCTTGGTACAAGCATTATGAAATCAATTTTTAGCCAAGAATATTGGACTTTGACTGTCACGGAACACCATTAGAGACTTCTGATTAACTTCTAAGCATTTAATAGGCTCTGCATCCATATAACTTTCTTTATCACCTCTGTGACAACCATGTGCTCAGCTTATGTATTAGATAAAATAACACTAGATTGAATAACTGACCTACAATTGATCAGTCCTCCTGTCAATATGAATAAATAGTAAGTCGTAGATATTCGTCTATCCATATTATTTGAATAGTCTGAGTCAGTGTATCTACACATAAATCTACAATAGATAATTGTCTCTCAAACAACAAACCAACATCAATTATACAATTCAGATACCTCATAGTACTCTTCACTGCATGTCAATATGTTCTTCTTGGATCATGTATGAACCTGCTCACAACACTAACTACTTATGCAATATATGGTATAATACAAACCATAACATATATTAGACTTCTCAATGCATTAGCATAAGGAACTGATCTCATATCTCTCCTTTCCTGATCATCTTTAAATTTGTTTTGAACTCAACTGAAAGTGAAATGCAATAGTAGACTCACCGTCTTGCTTGAATCATCAACCCTAAATTTCTTCAACATCTTCTAAACATAAGTTCCTCGCAAAAGCCAAATGTTTTTAATAGCCTTGTCCCTGAGAATCTCCATGCCAATAATTCTGTGAGATTCGCCCAACTCATTCATTTCAAAATATTTGGACAGCTGACTCTTCATCCTATCTATACCCCAATTTGACAAGCAAATGCAATCAATATATCATCAACATATAGAAACAAGTAAATAAACCTATTGTTGGTCAACTTCTTGAAATATGCATAGTAATCATAATAGCTCATCTGTTCTTTTCCCTTCATGAACGATCAAATTTTGTATACCACTATTATGTTGACTGCTCAATCCATATAAAGATTTGTCAAGGTTGCAAACCAAATTTTTTTATGCTCCATATCCATGTGACTGTAAAGTATTGATCTCTTATAATTTCCCGTGTAGAAATACAGTCTTCACATCTAGCTGTTCTAAGATCATCCCTTACTGTATTACGACTGCTAAGAGAATGCGACCATTAGAGAGAACATATTGTTATAATCAACCTTTTATGGTTACCAAAAATCTTTTATAATTAATATTGTCTTGTACTGCACATCAGCTCCAAGAGATCATTTCTTCTTTGCATACACCCATTTGCACCCGATGACTTTCTCTTTGGTGAAAGCTTCACCAACCTCTAAGTATCATTCTTCTGAAGAGATTCCATCTCTTCATCCATTGCCGCTCTCCAAAGATCATAGTCTGGGCTCTTTACCGCTTTTTTGTAGTGACAATAAATTTCTGCCTCAATGGATAAAAGTGTAAATGCAATGTGATCCCCAACCAAGTTGGTTTTGAGAGATTTTAACGTCTAGTCCTGTTCCTAGCAACAGATTCCTGAGTAAGAGTCTCATCCTCAACATGTTCTTCCACCTCATCCCGAACACTATCAACAGATAACTCCTGAGCTGCAACTGAATAAGGTATCCGAGTTAGAGTGAGCCAACTGTGTGAAACAAATGGAATTACATTAAACTCCAACTTCTATTGCATATCAGTGGTCCAAGTAGAATTCTCTACCTGCTTTGAATCCCAATTTTTCAACATCTATGCTAATGACAATCTTTCTTTATCACTGATCATATAGCTTGAAGTCCTTGACTCCACGGTTGAAGTCAATGATCATCTTCTTTGCTCATGGTTCTAATTCATCATTTTGCACGTAGTAGTAAGCTGAACACTCAAACACTCTCATGTGCGCATAATCTCTAGCAGAATGCCCTGATTATTTCTCTTTTTGGGTCTTCTTCCCAATAGTTGCAAAAGACAAATAGTTCATCAAGTAACATGCATAGTTTGTGGTCTCGGCCCAATGGACTATCCAACCCAACATTGGAAAATATGCATCGAACTTTCTTTACCAAACTCCGGTTCATCCTCTCTGTCACCTTGTTCTACTGTGGCGCCTCTCGAACAATGAAGTGATGTTCTATCCCAGCTCTCTGACACACTTGCAAGAATGCATCCAAAGTTTTTTCACCCTCATTGTCTGATCTGATAGATTGCATTTTTTTACTAGCCTTAATCTCAATCCACTTCTCCCAAGTTATGAAAATCTTCAGCATCTCGCTTTTGTTTTTTATGATGTACAACCAAATATATCTAGAGTAATCATCAATAAAAGAGACAAAGTATCTTCACTTGCTGAATGATGTTGTCTTTGTTGGGCCCCAAACATCTGTGTGAATATACTCTAAAATTCATTTTATACTGTGAATGCAGTGCCAAAAGATACTTATGTCGTTTTGCCAAATACAAAATTTTCATTGAAATCAAGCTTGTAAGTGCTCATTCCTTTGATCGATCCTTGTTTTACTAAAGTATGAAGTGAACCTCTCTAGTATGAGCTAGTCACATATGCCACATTATAGTGGCACCAGAAAAATTATCAGCAACAATAGTACTATCTTGAAAATAGTAAAGGTTGTGATGACAAACTCTCTTTATAAAAATGAGTGCTCTAGGACATATTCTCAGAACTCATGCCTTAATAACTATCTTGTAGTCCTTGGACTCTAAAACCCCAACTAATAGTAAATTTTTTATGATATTTGAAGTATGTTTAACATCGGTCAGCTCCTTCACAATATCATCATGCATCCTGATAAAGATACTTCCTACATCAATAGTACGGCAAGCTTGATCGTTGCCCATAGTCACTGCACCGCGATCCAGCTCCTTGTACGTACATAACCGCCCTCGATAAATACAAATTGATAGGTGGCACATGTGTCTAAAATCAAACACGAATTATCTATAAACAAATTGAGAAACTGTAAATAACGATGCATTTAAATCAGCCTCTTCACATCTTTATACAATGATATTGGCTTTCACCTCAGATACAATTTTATTTCCCTTCTTCTTTACCTTCAGATAATTTTTCTTCAAATGACGAGTCTCTAAATAGAAAGCATACTAATTTTTTTCAAGACTACGCCCACGAGACTTTCTCCACTTTTGAGAGGTGTCGCTGCTGCCATAAACTTTGATCACAACTAAGACTAGTACTCCCTCTTCTTCTTGCACGGTTAGAGTTTGTGGGTGATAAGGGTTGGCTCCTTGGGTTCATCTCTACAAGCTGGCCAATGTTAGAGTCTGTGACTCGAATTTTTTGTTGGATTTGGATTAAAAAGCTTGCGGTGTGACGTGGTACAACATAATTTTCCTTCACTTGAAGGATGATCTGAGATTGTTTCAATTTAGGGCATGGGGGGCTATATGGGAACATTCAATTACCACCTCAACATTTTCAATGTCTTTATAAGCATTCGATATATATGAATATATCACCAATATTGGTATCAAAAAATAAACTGGGCCTTTTATATTTACACATCTAACATCTACACTTTGTTTTTTTAACATTTATACCACCCAAATATTTCACATGACATAAAAAATACCACTATCTGAACTTCTTAAAAGTGAAATACTGCTTTTCTTCTATAAGTAAGATGGCATATATGCAAAAATTAAAGTTTTAGATATGCAAGTACTTATGAACTGAGTGGTATGTATGTAAGCTTGGTGTCAACTGCAAGTTACAATTGGTTAGCATTTCTGCTCGTATTATTACACCTACAATTTATTTTTTGTTTTTGCATTCTCATGCATGGAACTTTGCTGCAGGGAGAAAACCCAGTGGACCGATCAAATTTGCCAGACGGGAACAAACAGATATTTATCATGTCTGAAAATCTCTTAGATTCTCAGAGGGAAGATTTTGCTTGGGCATCATATGTTCTCTTGCGCAATACAAACTCTATGTCAGTGGTACTACTGAATACTTTTGTTCCATCCCAAAAGAGAAAAAAAAAACTCTATTACTAAAAAAGGGCACCAACACCTACGATATTGTCCGCCTTCTGCACCACTGAGTTGACGCCGAGCTTATCAAAATAATTTGAAGACTTACGTTAGGCATAATACTAAAAGTGCAATTTAGTGATTTGTTAGTTATTATTATGAGGTGTAAATAAATCTTAATATGTTTAGGCTTAGGATATATGTGATTGTTGTCTTAAATCTTAGGGTTGTGGTTTGGAAGAGATCGCCTACCTCTCGAATTACAGGTGTTTATCTTTGATGTATTTGGGTTGTGTTGTTTTGTGATGATGAAGTAAATATTTTGTTTGTCTTAATCTCTTTAGAGGCTATCTTGTTCTTATCGAATTGGCATCAGAGCTACGTCTTGGGAGTAATTGTGATACAATCTTGATTTGAGCTAGTTGGGAAGCCAACGACAGGATCCTTGCGTATAGGGTTCCACCTTCGTGACCGAACATCACGATACAATCATGATTCGATCTAGCTGGGAAGCCAACGGCGAGATTGCAATATACGGGATTATGCCTTTGTGACCAAACCTTGCAATACATCGTGATTCGAGATAGCTGGGAAGCCAGTTATGAATTGCGGCGTATAGGTTCCTGCCTTTGTTGCCAAATTTTGTGATACAGTTAGGATTCAAACTAGCTGGGAAGCCAATGACTGGACTGCAACATAGCAGAGATTTACCTTCATGATTGAAAATTGTTTTGGGAGCAGTGGCGACCAAGAAAGCATGTGTCTTGGAGCATAGAATTAGAGGGAGAGGTACACAAAATCAAATATGGATTGGAGGAACATTTCTCAGTCATGGAGGGGCAATTTTGGTCTATGAAAAAAAGATTGATGGTCATGAATAAAATGATGAAGATTGTAGAGTTTTAGGCGAATCTCCCGCTGCTCGTCCCTTGGTCAAGCTACGGGGTTTAGAGCAAACGTGAGTAATGGCAATCTAAAAGATTTGCTCGGCATCAAGGCAGTGTCGCTGCCTTAGGTAGATCCAAAGCCACTGGATTGAGTGAAGGATTTAGGAGCGGCAACCTTTTTAAGAAATAATGTGACATTCGAATGACTGAAACGAACAAAAGCAGACAGGATCAAGCAAAGGAGTCAAGAGTGGATTTGAGCGGCAACATCTACAACGATATTTACGACATACGGAGGTTTTGAACGAGCGGCAACACACATAACAGGATAGCGTGCGATTCAGGGCTGGATAAGAATGATTCAAATGATTTTGGCCTAAAACGGGGAACTAAGTTGGGTGGGACTCCGGTGGAGGGTTGCAACCAATCGAGCCAGTGTCTTTTATGGGATGATTCAGATCAGAAATCAATATGGGTCGAGGAAAGGAACCCCCGCCCCCCCCTCTCCTCTTGCTTCTTTGGCCGAGAAAATTAGGGAGGAGATTCACGCATAAAAAAGCTGAAAATGTCGATCTTTGAATGAGAGGATGTCTATGATTGAGTTTATCACCTTGAGATAATTTGTTGTTAAAGAACTAACGAAGGAAGAAAAATGATGGCGGTCACCCTATGTTTGAACGGGAGGGCTATGGCGTGGTATCGATGGAGAGAATAATGTAAATCAATCAAAACATAGGAATAATTCAAATATCAATTGTTGGAGTGTTTTATAACATTGTGAGAAGCAAACTTATACAAGCAGTTTTTTGCATTTGTTGAGGAATGGTCCGTCATGGACTATAGAGAGAAATTTGAGATGCTATCTGACCGTTTCTCAGAAGATTGCATTGACCATTTAAGAACGTGTTGATGGTACTCGAGGTGTCTACGAATCTATTGAATGTGGCGACTATGTTGGATTGACCACTATCTAAGATACTGAAGTGGTTAAGAGGTTTTTTGGGACTTACAGGATATTATCAGAAGTCCGTGAAGGGTTATAGTTCGATTGCACGACCTTTGAATGAGCAATTGAAAAATAATAACTTTCGGTAGGGGGAAGTTGTGACCCAGGCTTTTAAGAAGTTAAAGAAGACCATGACAAGTATACGAGTGTCAGCGTTACCTGATTTCAGCCAACCATTCATGTAGAGACGAATGTTTCAGGCTATAAGTTAGGCGCAGTCCTCATGCAGTGTCAATGACCCATCACTTACTTCAGTAAAGTGTTGACGGCGAGACCAGACTCGAGTCGGTTTATAGTAGGGGCTATATCAGTCCTCATGCAGTGTCAATGACCCATCACTTACTGCAGTAAAGTGTTGACGGCTCGAGTCGGTTTATAGTAGGGGCTATATAACTTGATCCAACAGGAGTTTCATCTCTTACACATTGCAGACAATTTATCTTTTTTGGAGGGGAGTGAGGTTAGACTGGTGCCTTCGACAACATCCGTCTCGTACTCTACTGAGTACATGCAGAGCCCACCAAAATAGTTTGAAGACTTATATTAGGCGTAAGACTAAAAGGGCAATTTAGTGATTTATTAATTATTATTGCGGGGCATAAATAAAGCTTAATATGTTTAGAGTTATGATATATGTGCTCTTGTTGTCTTGATTTTAGTCTTAGGGTTTGGGAGAGATCACCTACCTCTTGAATTATAAGTGCTTATTCTTTATTTATTTAGTTGTGTTGTTTTGTGCTGGTGAAGTAAAATATTGTGTTTGCCTTAATATATGTGGAATTTGTCTCATTCCTATCACATACATACACCCAATTACTGTATTTTACACATCTAACATCTAAATTTTACTTTTTTATGCCACCGAAATCTTTCATTTCACAAAAAAATATACCATCATTTTAACTTTTAAAAGGTTGAATACACCTTTATGCATAAGTAAGGCAGCATGTATGAAAACATTGAAGTTTAGGTATTACATATGTAAATACATAAGAATTGAGTGGCATCAAAGTAAATCTACCTAAAAACTATTCACAGCTGACTTGTGCAGCTATGGATATTTTTCTTCCTGATGGGAGGAGTCCTTAAACTATCCTACTGGTTGGTTTGACACGATTTGTGAGATGATAATGTGAAGTGAAGTATATATGACAAATATATTTTTTGTTGCTGAGATCTGTATTGTGCTGACAAGTAGAGATTTAACTCTGGTTATTTTACCAGCTTATTGCGGTCCGAGATGCAGCATGTGTTCGCGGCTACTGGAATATGCCCGAAGGCATTTCGAAAGCTCAAATGGTCAAATGGCTGTTAACAAAGTTTGAAGAAGTGGGGTTACTTGATCTGAAGGACACCCTATATTTTCCAGAGAGACCAGGTTTTTTTTTTTCTCCTAATCTTAGAAGATTTAGACAGTATGTAAATTTTTATTTATGGGTTGGAGCATAACAAAATAGCCTTTTGTCAAAATCCCCACAACATATTTACAAATGCATCAATTATTTCCATTTAGCCTTAAGGCAGTTTTTGGTAGCACACTATTAACAGGATTTAGTCACAGATTTAATTTAAATCAAACCAAACATCAAAAAATAAAAATTAAATCCAATGCTCCGTTAAATCGAATTTTCTTGTGTCCCTTTTTTTTTCTCACTTTTCATCTGCTTTTTTTTGCTCGCAAGCTCCTCCGTCTGTTGCTGGATTCGATAAACCCGGATTTATCAGATTTCATAAATCCTATTTAACATAAATCTATAGTGCAGCCAAATGCATGCCTAAGTTTAATTCCTTTCACTATCCCAATCTTCTTATTATGATTCCTTTGGTCAAATGTAAAACCTGCTTCTCGAAGTTCATTCTTATTTCAATATGCTACCAGATTATAAATTTTCAATATGCTACAAGATTATAAATTTCATGCTCTTAATTTTGAAAAATTCCTCAAGTATAGTTTGATTTAGATTCATTCGCTCAAAATGATTGAATTTTACTAAATTTTAAAGCATTTATGTCTGTTACTATTTTTGTACATGTTTTTTTTCAGAAATTATACCCCAAAAATAATATGTTTTTTTCAGTTTTCTTATGACATGAAAATTTCAGCAGATTCTGAACTGCAGCCAATGCTACCTAGAGGAACTCTTTCTCTGCTACTTCAACCAGTTTTAAGTGAATCTAGTGCTTTGGTTGATACTAGAACAAATATTGAAGGCTTCGTGCTGTTGGCCTCTAATGCAAATTATGCATATAGTGAAAAAGATAGAGCTTGGATTAGAGCAATTTCAAACAAATTTAAAGGTATTAGAACCTTTAACTGCTGTAAAAGTACTGATTCTAGATTACTCTAGTTTTTTTCAGAGAACTTATTTGTCTTTATTTTCGAATGGTAAAAACTTGTGAAATTCTTTTTGATGTTTCAGTTGTCAGAAGGAATATGTTTCCATAGAATATGTGTCTGAGGATGTCATACTTGTGTCTGAAATTCTTTTTAATGTTTCATACTTTTGTTCTTTATTGAGAAAACTGTCTCAATTAAGAACATTGTTTAGATTGAGTTTAATATTTAGGGTTAAAGTTTATTGATGGGAGATGATTAGGGTAATTGAAGTAGACCTGATCAACTTCTCGTGATTTTGTTGTATTGGTTGTACTAGTGGATCCACTTTGCCAATGTAAGTGGGCTCCAAACCACAACGCCCAGCGAATCTAACTAAGGTAAAGTTGATTAACAACTCATATTTCCATTGTATCAGTTATACAAGTGGATCCACTTTGCCATTGTTTGTGACCTTTATAACATCCAACAAGTCTAATTAGCAACCGTAGGTTGTCTTCTCTAAAGTACCTATATTGATCTTGATGAAATTGTGTGTCGATGATGTGCTTTTGGGGTTGATGTCAACTCATTCACTAGCAGAGGATTGTGTGCTAGTTTTACTTAATAGTTTAGAGGCATGTGTCATGCCCTTATGGCTAAGAGATTTATTGATTATGATTGATAAGTATTCATAGGCATGACATGAACATTTGTTGTCCTTGGTTTTTGTTAGACCCGAAGAAGCATGTCTATGACGCATGGGATTTGATTGGTTGGTTCATTTTTAATAGTGATACTATGTTCTCTATTATTTTTTAATTTAGCTCAATGGAAAGTTGTTTTAAAGTGAATATATATATTTAGCATATGTGTATGTTTTACATGGTAACAAAATGGTTTTTATTTAATGTTGACCATGAGTAAAGTATAGAATATTTATTGACTAAGATGATGAATCTTATAATCTATCTATATTTTATTTAATTTTTTTATTATTATTATTTTCTTTTTTTTTAGACTCCGATATTGGCCACATGGAGAAGGATTCTTTCAACATATTTCCCTTCTCACCGACGATGTCAACATTGACAACAATGCCTCGATTACATTTGGTTATATGTTATGGGTCTTTTTACAATGTTGACGCTATAAGATGACCATAGAACCACTACCTAATGGCAGCAAGATTATTCACTTAGGTTTTTGTCAACTATAATGGACATTGTCGAGGCTTTGTCTCTCTAAATTTGGATTGAAGACAAACAAAGGGAGATAAATTTTTGGTTGAATCAAAGTTCAATGACACAAAAGGTCTTAAAATTTTGAACATGTTGAAGATTAATGATGCTGTCTCAAGTCCAAATGGATCAGAGATGAACCATTCTTTAAACTAATCAAATCAAGGATTGATGGTTCTTCAAACTAATATGAATGAAGATCAACGATTCTACAAAATTTTGATACCAACATATGTGCGAGAAGATTATTCGATGCTAACTACGGTTGAGAGGCAGGAAGTTGGGTGTTGCTGGTGTCGGGTTTTCAAATTTGGGGAGTTTGAAGTCAACTTCATTCGACTCAAGAAAGTCGAGGTTGAGGTTAGTGATGATGTGTAGCTTTGAAAGAAGTAGGGCATGTGGGATGATTAGACTTTTGCAATGAGATGGGGTGCATGAGAAGCAAACAGAGAGGAATTAATAAGAAAAAAAAAAATTTGATCTTGATCTTAAAATTATTTCATTATTTTTGTGATAAATTTAATATATGATCAATCAATCGAAAGCTATGCAATATTCATCTATTTGAATAAACAAATGAAACTATGCAGCATGATATAATTAGATTCATAGTGACTTTATTATATGGTAAAATCACGCAACACGTAAATGATCTTTTTGCAAATTACATAACCTTTTTTGCTATGTAATCTGAGCTTTAAATGTAATTATAATAATTTTAAATTATAGGGGATGTTCTTAAAAAATTAAACATATGTTTTAGAACAAAAATATTTTAAGAAATTAATAAATTAGGCATAAAAATAGTAAGATCAACAACAACAACAAAGCCTTAATCCCACTACGTGAAGTCGGTTACATGAATCCTTTTTCTCCATTGCATCCTATTTAGTGTCATATTTTCATTTAGTTATAGTAAATTAAGATCATTTTTAATATAATAAGCCCAAATCTTCCTAAGTCTACCTCTGCCTTTTTTAACACAAGTCGAATCTAAAACATCTACTCTCCTAATCGGATCATCAGATGGTCGACATTTAATGTGACCAAACCATCTAAGGCGACTTTCTCTAATTTTGTATGTCACAGGAGCATAAAAATAGTAAGATCGTTGACTTAAAATTCTTCATTTCCAGACAAGATTAATCACTCATATCTATTAAAGAGGCATAATATATCAAGAATAAAGAACATTAACACAAAGGGGCATTTGCATACATACCACATAATTTATATTTAGTTACATATCTAACACCTAAACAGTGATATTTTCATGAACACCGCCCAAATCCTCAACATCACATAAAAATACCATACTTCTATCATAAATAGTACATACCCAAATCCACAAAACAGTAAACAGTTATGAAAGCCGAAGCAACGAAGTCATCAAATGTCCAAAAGCATACAACAAAAATTATGTTCATTCGAATTTCAGTTCAGATATGGCAGAGAGTTACATTCATCGACCAAGCGCACGCTCTTTCTTCACGACCAAGAAGACTTTTCATTTAAATATGCCTCACTTTCAAAGCTCAATCCAAAAGCTTTTTTTTCTCACTTGGGTCCGCCAAATTTCCCCATCATTTTTGCAATTACAGGAGCCACCTTGGGGTTTGATTGATGTTTTGCAAAATTTGCGGGATTCTTCATGACTGTGTATCACAACCATGTAAGAAACACAATCCAACTAAATTTAGAACTTTTGTAAATGGAAGATAAACAAAAGGTGAAATATTAAAACTAGGCAAAAAAAGGGGGGGTTAATTCCATGCATAGAACTCAAAACATTATTATTTATGAATCTAGCACCCCCTTTCATTCATTTTTCAAATTCACACTAGAATATCAATATTCACAATAAACAATAAAATCTCAACTCGTATTTTTCATTTTTTTTATCAAATACTGAATGAATGAATCGTGGCTCGCATAAATGTATCGGTTTGGAGGTTAAAAAAAAAACATCTTGATGCTAGTTTAGTAAAAAGCAATGTTTCCAATAAAAAACAAGCAATCAACAAAACATATCAAAAACAATGTGTGTGTACTTCACATGAAAGAAAGATTTTCAAGTTGCTTGGCATTAGTGTGAGACCATCAGGACCACTAAATATAAACCTTAAAGCTTACCATCTTGAAGAGCGGCCATTATTTCTGGATCACTAAATGCTGCCATTAGTTCAGGATCCTACAAATAAGTTAAGAACCAAAAGTAAACAGCACATTAGAGGAAAAAAAATTTTTGTAGACATCTTCATGATGAGGTATATAAATAGTAAAATTTAATATTTTTTTTCTCATATAATTTGTGCAATTTAGTGATTCCCCACTCATTATATTTTCTTGCCCAATACTTTAACAAAAATTAGACATTTGGTGATTTTGCCCACCCTAAAAAATAATGTTGGTTCCGCCCAAAATTTCTTTGAAGGGACTGCTTTGCTTTCATAAATCCTGTGAGTAGATTTAAGTCAAAACTGAGAATAAATTGAGAAAGAAATGAATTTACCATAATTTCTGGATTTAAAATTATCATTTGTGAAGATTTGAATTAAATCTTAAATCAGTTACCAGGTACACAAGCGCATTGAGATATGAGGTATGGTGAAATGTTGGGTCGGGATATAATTGATTAGTAACATCTTAAACCCAACTTGAACAAAATTTAGCCCAGCATATCCTAATTTTTTTTTAGGGAGAGGGAGAGAGAATTTACTTTTAGAATGTTGCTCATATCAATGTTTCCAGGCGCAGATCCCGGCATGGCACCGGGAAAACCTCCCGGCATACCTCCAGGAAACCCACCAGGGTTGCCACGAGGCGATCCGCCACCAGGAAATCCGCCAGGCGTGCCGCGTGGTGATCCCCACCCAGTATTAGCCGAAGATGACTGCTCATTCTTCTTTGCCTTTTCATAAGCAGCCTGCAGAATGATAGCATGTTATGAAAAAAATATAAATTGAATTTGCAGTATTGAATCAATAAGGGCAAGTAATTATTATGCATTTACATATCTCACACCTAAAATTTCATATTTACACACATAGCACCCCCACTTCTTGTAAATATGAAAGTTTAGGTGCGAGTTATTTTGATACAGAAGAACTGTGTGCTATGTGTATGTAAATGCCCCATCAATCAATTGCTTATAATGGAAATATGTGGTTATTTACCTGAGCTTCAGCTCTGCGACGCTGCCTCTCCCTTTCAGCTTTCTTATCAGCTCTTTCCTTCCGCAAGCGCTCATACTTCCTGCGGTGCTCTTCAAGCTTGTGCGCATTCGGTTCAACCTGCATAAATAGAGTAAATATGTTCATTTACGTTCTCTGAAATCTAGAAACAAGGATATTGATTTGTCACACATACCTTTTTAAGAATATTATTGATTTCTTCATCGAAATCCAATTTGGATGCCACGTGAAGGTCTTTTGCCGAATCTTCCCATTTGCCAAGCATGGCTAATGCTATGCCACGAGATTTGTAACCTTTAGCAGAGTCAGGGTTGATCTGAAAGAATTGAATATCAGAATTATTGGATTAGGAAATAGCGACTGACAGCCAGCTAACACATTTAAATTAAAGCAGTTGATCAGCCAAAAAAAAATAAAAGTAAACTCAGAACCTGTAAGTTTAGGAAACAGAATGCCATTCAGGCCAATTTCAACATATCACAAGTGATAATTCAGGAATCGAAAATCAGTACTGAAATATCAGGGAACTCAATTTTCAAATCCAAGGCCGGCTCTTAAACTATGATTATTTGGTCATAACTAGCAGTGCAACGGGGACTGCATGCTCTAGCTGTGCCCCGGTTTTAAAAAAATCATGAATAATATAAGAGTTCTATGCTTAAAGATTCATGAAATTATGTATTATTTTTGTGTGACTGTATCGTAACGCAATGTATTGCCATAAGTTTACTAGCGAAAGGACTTTGAGAATCTTCCACTTGCCTTTGAGAATACCTAAAGCACAATCTGTATTAAACTTTCATATTTCCCATCTATTGTTTCTCTTAAGTGGAGAAAAAATACTAGGGTTTTTCTCAATGTGTTATAAATGTCAGTGAAGCCAAGGCAAATTAATTGATGAAGGCATTTAAAAAATACAAAGAAAGAAAAATGAAAGTTCTTGGAGACGATTTTCTCCAAAGTCATCACTTTTAGAATAAGTATAGATATAGCCTTGTGTAAAACATCAAAAGTTTCAAACGATGAACAAATGTAAGGATTTCATTAAGTATGGCAGTTCAATTCACCTCCAATGCAGCATTTGCATCACGAATTGCAGCATTTGGCTTCTTCATCTTGATGTAAACCGTAGCTGTACATTAGTAGAAGAGACGAAACCAAAGATTAAAATTACAGAAACGAGTAAATCCTATGCTTATCCATTGACAGTTAAGAGATTACCTCTGGTGGCATACATTATAGCAGGTTCAGCAGAATTGCCTCTGAGAGATGTGCGATTGCTTCATCAAACTTGCCTGATAAAAAGTAGTTAATGACGCTAAATTCAATAAAAAAAATTTTAAGCATGTGAGTGATGAATACGATCATGGTTATTGATCTAAGTAAAATTCCAACCTTCGGAAAGTGCCTCCATGGCTTTCCCCTTCTCCTCTTGTGAGGCATCTCGGTTTTCTTCCGTAACCTCAATAGAAGGATCTCCCATCTAGAAAGAGAAATTATAAGGTTAGGGATGATAATTACACTGTAGCTTCCAAGACCATAATACATTATGAAACGTATTTAAACAGAAGATTCTTCAAAGAAACACCTTTTGCGGAGGATCATTATCTGCTTCTACAATCTCCCCCTCAAGCTCAACGTCAGATTCTATAATTTCATCATCTGATTCCTGGACTTCTGGACCAGCCTCATCACTCAAATCATCCTCATCAAGATCATCATCTTCATCCACCACTTTACTTTTCTGAAATTATCAGAAATATAAATAAAACTGTATAACGTTCTTGACACAGCTTTGTGATATAAAATATAAAAGAAATGCATTAAAATGGACTTGTGATGTGATAAAAACAATATATTTTTTACTAGCTCAAGTGTTGTAGAAACACCACAATACAATAAAGAGTACTTTTGGGATGGCTGAATTTTTTTGCAGTAGCAATAGAACGGTTACCAAGAAAATATATTCTTTTGAAAGTTTAGGGTATTATAAATTTTTTCCCCTTTTGAAAAAATCGGGCAGCAACTTTCTCACAGCTATTCCACAAATAAATCTGGTTATAAAAATTTCTCTCGAAAATTTTTAACTGCTGGAGAATTAGCCAAATATAACCAGCATTCAGAAAAATAAAGCTAAGAAAAACTGCCTCAAAGAAACCCAAAGCACATAACAATGTCGTAAGCAAAAACTTCGCAAAACAGCAATACACCATAAAAAGCAAAGAAATAGAATGATAAAATCAGAGGTAAAAGTTGATATGGATAATTAACTCCAATATAGCTAAGGAAAACCTTTTTTCAGCTATTATTAAGAGAAGAAAATGTTATGAAGCAGGATAACCAAGAGCAAACTGAGACAGAACGGAGAGTCCGATCTGTTGTATCTTAGGAAACAAGAAAATATAATGAAAAAAGACACCGGTTTGCTAAATACCTGTACATGTAATCTCCAACTAACTCTTAATACTAGAAAAGATTAGCACAAAAGTCAATACCACAAATAACAATTCAAATTATTATTTTGGATCACTATGTGGGTAGCAGACTGAAACCTTAAGATGTGTCAAGTTGGAAAACAAACATTTTTCGCATTTGTAATTGCACGTCTCCAATTATGTGCAAATAATATAGGTCACAAATACAAGAAGCCACTTTGTTTCTGTTTAGTAATAGTTGACATGGCTATGTAGAATTTATGGACCGACCCCATCATACTTGGGGTGATCTCGCTTTTTGAAAATTCGAATCAACCTACTAAATCTAAGTCAATGAACTTGAGATCAGCATTGAAGATAACCTAAAAGAGATGATTGAATTTTGATGAAACCTCAAAATCATTAGCAATCAAGTATATTTAGGGATGCAAAAAATTACTCAAACCCGACTCGAAAAATATAGGTTCTAATTAACCCGATAAATTTTTCAGTCACTTTTTGTTCATAAATTCCAACACGTTTAATTTATCGATCCTAGTTTGGGTTAACCTACCAAAATTAATTTGACCTATCAACCCGAAATAGACTCGAATTTGATCCATCTACCCAAAATTGACCTTAATTTGACACGAATAATTGTTATGTATATGTTAAACAGATTATGTGGGTTGAGTTTGGGTCGGTTTTTTTAAAGTCGAGTCACGTTTGAGTAACTTTTTGACCTGTTTAATATTCAAGTTCCGTTTAATAATCGATTTGGGTTCGAATCAAATGATTTTGGGTCTGGTCAATTTGGATCAAACCTAAAACTAACCCACAACCCCTATTTGATACACCTAAATGTATTTCAACAGACCCAATTGGAAGGTCAACACAAAACTAAAAAACATCCGAGTGTGTCGAAGATGAAAGAACCAAAATGCTCTCAACTATTTAGGAATCACTTTGGATCATCAATATGCCCACCGTATAAGATAACATTATGCCCACATACCAGTTCAAAAAGTGATAGACACCTGTCAAAAATAAAAGGATTTAATCGAACAGATATTATATGCATTGCCAATTGACAGGGCTTCATTTGGTAATACGTGAAAGTAATATACCTATCTCAAAATAACTTGATTAACAAGGTCACATCATTATTTTGCTTGACTCATCTGGAAATCTATTAGAGTTCACCAAGCTCAAATCTTTGCACAATCAAGTATCCCCACCCTTATCAACATATATAGCTAGGTAAACTATAAAGGCACCCCAAGTTAGTCCAAAAGCAAATGGGTAATGTGATAGCTGAAACCCAGACTAGTATGGTTGTAAGCTACTCAATCACAAAGCAAGTAGGCAACAATTGCCCAATCAGTTAAGCCACGAGTTGCATAGTTGCATGTTTTAGAATTACTTTATGCAAGTAAAATTGATTATGGCTCCATCAGTCACAACAAAAAGTAAATATGTATATCCCTCTCCTCTTTATAAAAGAAAACACCTTCAGAGCATATAAGTATATAGCTCTTTATAAGCCAAGTGATTGTTTTGAGTATATATATATAAATATTTTGACTCTTTATCCTTTACTCTTCCATCCTATCTACTCAGACATAGCCCAGATAACTTAAGAAGAAAATAAGTTTCTCCTAAAATCCAAGTTCACTTCTCTTTATCATCCCCAATTACTAATAAACAAAGAAAATAGAGTACCCATTTTCATAGATTCTTCGACAATTAGTAGTAGTTTGAAATGTCACGCAATTAAAACCTAGCAATCCATCCCAAATCACACAATAGTGGTCTCAACCAAAAAAACGCAACAATACAGAACAACCTAAACGAAGAATAGACTGACGGTGCAGTCAAATTAAGCTAAGCCCCTGGGGAAATAAAACAATTGTAACATTATTAAAACGTCAATGAATTTTAACAGCATAAAAATCTATTCCTACTTTCATATACCAACCCAATAAAAGATGACAGATGAAACAATATCTACAAACAGTTGGGGAAGTAAAAAAGAGAATCTACCGTGTAGCCCTAAGTTGCTTCAATCCATTTCAACCGGGCAATCCAAGGCATATAAATTAAGGGGAAAAAAAAACAAAATGGTTTCGAAACAGAAAAAAACAATTTTTTTATAAAAATTTGCGCGAATTCAAAGAATGCAAAGCAGGAAGCAATAAAAAGATCAAACGATTACCGTATCACCAGCTCGAGGTGACTTCGCGGAGCCGTAAGATGCCGGGGGAAGCTTGGCTCCCAAACTACTCCAACAGTCACAAAATCGCAAGGGTTTAAGACGAAAACACAATAATCATGCAACAAATCTATCAAAAAGAAAGAAAAAAAGAAAGAGATAGATAACGAACCTTTCAAGGTAATCTCTGAAGAAAGAAATAGAGGGGTCGCCGAGGATCTCAGGGTTCTTCCTGCACTGCTCCACGAAGAGCTTCAGCTCCTTCACCTTCGCCGCGTCCATGGCCGACTTTCGCCGCACGAAATGAATCGAGTGAAGAAACGCAGTGCAGATGAAGAATAACGCCTATTGTGACCTTTGGGGTTTCGGTCCTTTCGGTGGAGAATGGATGCGGATTGGTAGTTGGAGAGAGTCCACCCGGTTTCTGGTTGCTTTCAAAGCTTTCTAAAAAAATATTGTAGTATGAGGTGGCAGATAAGTTTGTTCTAGTATCTTCCACCGGCGCCTCATCCCTTTTTATTGTGCTCTATTGGAAAAAAAATTTAGGGCAAAATAATAATGCCTCTCTCTCTCTCTCTCTCTCTCTCTCTCTCTCTCTCTCTCTCTCTCTCT